GTGCCATCGAGTCAGACCTGACTCATAGCGACCCCTCCTTGGGTTTCTGAGGCAGTATCACTACGGAAGTAGATTGCCCCATCTTCCTTCTGAGGAGTGACTGGTGGGTTTGAACCACCAGCCTTCTGGTTAGCAGTCAAATGCCGTAGGCACTACGCTACCAGAGCTCCCTAGCAGTCCACAGCATAGTGTTATGTCTTACAATCTATGATAATGTCATTGACTTTATGATGTACTTAAGGTCAAGTACTATCCTAGATGCTTTTGCAAACATCACTGCATTTCACACCTTAGAGCCCCTCTACATGGTAATATGCTCTGGTAGCATAGTGCCTAAGGCACTTGACTGCTAACCAGGAGGCTGGTGGTTCAACCCCCCCAGCCACTCCTTGGAAGGAACATTGGGCAATCCTACTTCCGTAGTGATAACTGCCTCGGAAACCCAAGAAGGAGGGGTCGCTAGGAGTCGGGGCCGACTTGATGGCAAATAACAACAACAACAACATGGTAGTATTACAGTTCCCACCCATTTTATGAATGAGAAAGGTAAAGCTTAGGGAGGTTAAGTATTGGGTCCATGGCCACTGAGCCAAGAAAAGACCAAACTGGTGTTCAGACCAGGACTGAGTGGTGGCTAAGCTGGCCCATTGCCCCAGGTAGAAGCTCACCTGGGAGTGAATATCTGCGAAGTTTTCTTAGATGTGACTGCCAGAGGGCAGAAGTTCCCTGAATCAGCAACTTGGTCAGAGGCCAGAGGTTTCAGTAAACCAGTTCTCCCCAGAACTCAGGGTGCTTGTTTGGTGCTTTGTGAGAGGCTATGAGGCAGGGAGACAGGGACAGGTGGACTCACCATATACCTTGAGCTGCAGGGTCTGGGTCTGTGCTTGACCCCCCTTGTCCACCAGCAGAACAGAGAAGTTGCCGCTGTCTCCAGACTCCAGTGGCCGCAGCTCCAGGCTGAGGTTACTGTGCAGCTGGGCTCGGCCCAGGAAGCGGGAGTGGTATAGAGTCTCTGAGGAGTTCTGGAAAAATGTGGCCAGGAGCTCCTCTGAAGGCCAGAGAGATCGCCAGATGGCATCACGGACTTGGAATCCAGCGGGACGCTCTGCCGCCAGCAGCACAGAGCCCCCGACCTGTCCCTGGATTTGGGTCCCGGTAACTGCAGTGGGAAGCAGAGCTGAAAGAACAGAGCCCCCGTCACTGTGGGCTGCCCCATGTGTCTCAGCCCTCTCCATCACACAGCTGAATGACTAGGGAGCGTACCAGGGCCCCTCCATCCATGTTCCCTCCACTCAGGTTGAGGGTCCCCTGTGCCAGATACTGGGACCAAAACAGGAAAGAAGAGACTCTAGTCCCTGTGCTCATGGAGCTCACAGAAAAAGCCAAATATATTAAGTGTTATGATGGATGGTGAAAAAGTTAAATATGCGACTATTAGCTGGAAGATTGCCACCCAGAGGCACCGGATAACTCAGTATCTCATGAATGATATATAGTTAAAATCTATGCAAACAGGCCTAGAGATCTGCTTTGGAGAGGTCACAGCCTTGAAAACCTACTCTGCACCCACAAGGTTGACATAGTTGTACTCAACTTGTCAGCAACTAACAACAAGATGATGGGAAAGAACGAGATGGCATGGGAGAACACAAGTCAGGTGATAGTGTGACCTTACTCAGCTTGGAGGGACTCAAAGCAGAAATGTAAGCGGAGGCCTGGGAATCAGTAAGGGCAAGTGGAAGGCTGCCTGGAGGGGCATGGGAAAGTGTTACCATCAGAGGGAACGGCATGTACAAAGGCCTGGAAGGAGGGAGCCTGGTGCACTGGGGAACTGAAAGTGTTGCTCTGCAGGGTGGGGGTAGGAAATTACATGGCAGAGTTGGCGGAAGCCACATCATGCAGAGCTCTGAAAGCACGTTGGAGTTTGGGCTTTATCTTTAGAGCAATGGGGGGCTGAGGATAGGTTTTAAGCAGAAGAGTAACATGATTAGTTGCATGATTTGAAAGATCACTCCAGCAGAAGTGTGGAGACGCACTGGAGGAAGGCCAAGACTGAGGCTGTTTATATTAATGCAAGGAGAGGTGATGTAAGCTTGTATGGAAGAAGATGGCATCAGGAATTGGGGGAAGTGGGAGGAATTGAGAGAGATTAAGACACTGCAATTCATAGGACTTGGTTAACAATTAGATCTGGCGCGTGAAGGAGAGAACAGTCAAGGATGACTTCTGGGTCCTTGGAATGTATTGGCTACTATTTGCTGTGATCAGGGACACTGAAGGAGAAACATACTGAGTGATGAGATGGCAAGATGTTGAATTTAGTTGGGAATATAATGGGTTTGAGATGTGCAGGAGATACCTCTGCTTTAAGTGCCCTTCTGACTCCTTCACTGGCTAATTTCTGCTCATTCTTCAAGTCTCACTATCTCTCTGACCTCTCCCATCCCTCAGTTCAGGTTATAAACTCTGCTTTTGTGTCCCCATATTGGTCTGGGCTCACCACTATTACTCCATTGAAACCTATTGCTGTCAAGTCAATTCCAACTCATAGTGACCCTATAAGACAGAGTAGCATTCCCCCATGGCATCCCCAAGGCCACAGGTTTTCCCCAAGCTTGTCCATCATATGTGAACTTGCTGGTATTTGAAATACTGGTGGCATAACTTCCAGCATCATAGCAACATACTACCACAGTATGACAAACTGACAGATGGTTGGTTGTCCCAGGGGTTAGAGTATTGAAAACATTTGCAGGACCTTTGAAAGAGCCCTCAGAGCCAGGAGCCCAGGTGGAGGACATAGGACAAAGTAATCTCAAAGTCCCCAAGTCTCTGGTATAAACAAAGATGTCTGAGACTTTGCTACTCCTCCCAACCCCTATGACATAGCCTGATCAGTGCTGACCCTGTCCCATCAGCCACTTGCTGACCAAGGCAGGGAGCTCAGACATTAGACAAAATGGGTCTTGTCAGAGATCCAATGTGTTATAATTTCAGCATCACACCATTATCAGCCACCCATAAGTCCACATGAACCATATTTAACCTGCTCTCTCCCATTGTCCTCACTCACTATCCACTTCCCTTACACAAGTCAGCAGGGAGAGATCTCTCATGTTCCTTTCAACCTCCCAACCCTCCTCAGACTGTAGGGAGCTCTGCTCTGGCCTTTCCTTCCCTGGTCTCCCCAGTGTGTATGTGGAATTTCCACATGTTAACACTACCAGAGTGTTGATGATTCTCACCCCGTCTCAGTCTCCAAACCACTGGGCATCACCAACCTCAGTATCTGCTGCCTGGGACCACAAAATAGCTTGTATCTCATGGGTGTTCTCAGGGCTGCCACCTCCTCCCACCTAGGACTCTGCATCTCCTTGCATCCACCCAGCTTTAATTGTTGCCCAGGAACTTGCTCCAGCCTTCCCTATCCCTCCTCAGCTCCTGGGACCTCATTCAAGGTGGGGAAGGATGGCCCAGAAGGTCTTGTGGTGGGCAGCTGGGGAAAAGCCTGTAGGTCTCTGAGGGTAGGGTATCCATCTGACCCACTTACCTTCCCAGAGAAGCAGACTCCACATGGCCATCCTTCTCAGCAGAGACAGACACACTCCCCTGACAACCAAAATCCAGCACATCCCAGGCCAAACAGACACATGGATGAAGCTGTGGTCCTTCTGGAAAGTCCCATGTCCAGAAGGAGGGATCTTGACTCAAAACCACATGCCCCGAAAGTGAAAATGTCCAAAGCAAAGTGGAAGTTGGTTGCAGGCCTAGCTGGGTTTTTCAGGAGCAGATTCTTGTAAGTCAGCCTCTTTCCCATGGTTGGCCAAGGCAATTGCAGGCAACAGGCTCCCTGCACAAGCCCATGTCCACCTCACTGACTCTCACCAGGCCTCCAACATCCAGCCCTCCCCTCCTGCTCTCTGTCTTTCCCCTTGGAGTTAGTGAAGCCCTCTAAACTCCAATTCCAGTCAAGTTACTTCTCCACTTAAAAGTCTTTCCTGGCCTCCCACTGCCATCAGGATAAAAAGCAGACTTGTCTTAGCATACAAGGTTCTTCTGGGTCGGGCTCCTGCCTGTTTCTCTACAATGGTCTCCCACTTCCATTCTGTTCTGCACCACACCAAACCAGAGCTACCTGGTCTCAGGACTACCCATTCATACTTCCATGCTTTGGAGTCATTCTTCTACCAGATATGCTGTTCTGTTCATCCTTTCAGACTCAGCGTGGTGATGTGGACAGTCAGGTCCTCCCTCAAGCCCTCCTGATCGTTGGCAGAGTGAGAACCCTCCTACCCTGGTTTCAGTAATATGTCCACTCTTCCCTCAGTGCCCTTCTGCGTGTTGGTAAGTTTTCTGGGTCTCCATAGCCTATTTGCCAGTAAGCTTTCTTATTCATTTCTGTGTCCCCATTAGTCTCAGTGCATCCTAGATTCCTAACAAATGTTTATTAAAAGAGCAAATGAATTCTGTTGTTGTTGTTAGTTGCCATCTAGTTGATTCCCACTCATGGTGACCCCTTGCGTGCAGAGTAGAACTGCTTCATAGGGTTTTCAAGTCTGTGAACTGTTGGAAGCAGATCACCAGGTCTTTCTTCTGAGGCACCTCTGCATGGGTTTGCACCACCAGCCTTTTGGCTAGTTGTCCAGCACTTAACTGTTTGTACCACCCTTGGTTATTTGCTTTGTTTTAGCCTTACAACTCTTCTCTGAGAGGATATTGCCATCATCCTTTTAGAGATGGAGGAATTTGAGAATCAGAGGGGGTTAGGCATATTGGTGAGGGTACAGAGTGGCAGAACTGGAGTCTGGGCCTTGACCTTCAGTTATAGCCCATTTTACCACAGTCGCCTCTTCCTCACACTTTTTCTCCTCCCACTTCAAGTCACTTGACCCCTTTCTCAACTCCTTTCTCAACTCAGGGAAGGCTTTGTGGGAGGGTGTTGCTTCTTGCCCTCCAGGCCCCTGAGGAAAATTTCTGATTGTTCCATGTGGCTCATTGTGTCTGGTCCTGCATAGCTCTGATGTGTTAGTCATACTGAAGGCTATGTTTTGGACCCAGTGAGGAGATAGGCATATGGGCAGTTTTTTTTTTTTTTTTTTTAAGTGTGTGTCGGGGGGACGGTTATATGGAGGGGACATGAGCAAGAGGATTTTGGGAAGGGGCTGGTTTCTGTTCTCCATGTACTCATAACCAAAATGTAGAAACAAAGCATACCCGGAAAAGTGAAGGCCTCCCAGCCCCCAGTCCCCCCCCCATCCCCAGATAGGCCCTGCTCTGTGCAAACAGTGCAAACAGGCAGCATAATCAGTGCTGCAGGAAGTGGGTGGCAGCAGTCTCTGTGAGTCTGGGGTAGGGAAGGCTTCCCAAGGAGATTGGAATTTGAGCTGGACCTGGTAGGTGGGTATAAGAAAAAGGAGAGGGCCAGAGTTGGGGGTGAGCTCTGAGTATGGGGCAGAGCAAAGACTTTAACTTCCTCTGATGGTGCAGTGGTTAAGGTATTTGGCTGCTAGCCAAAATGTTGGTGGTTCAAAACTACCAGCTGCTCCCTGGAAGAAAGATGAGGCAGTCCACTTCCATAAAGATTTACAGCCTTGGAAACTCACAGGGGGTTGCTGTGAGTTGGAATTGACTCAATGGCAGTGAGCATGGTTTTTTGGTTTGAGGGTTGCCACAAAGTGGCTGGTTTATAAAAACAGGAATTGGGTGGATTACCCAAGAAGCAAGGTAAGCATGGGCTTATAATGTAGTGAAATCCATGTGAAACTATTCACTACAGATTAGCAAGTAAGCACAAGTAAGCCTGTGCTTACCTTGCTTATTGGATAATTTACCCCGACAGAAACGTATTGTATCGCATTTCTGGAGGCTAGGAGTCCAAATGCAAGTTGTCATGTTTTCTCCAAGACTCTGGAGGAGATCCTTTCTTATCTCTCTTGGTTTCTGGTAGCCCTGAGTGTGCCTTGATTTGCAGCTAAAGCATAATTATGTTCCCTTGGCCATTTCCCCTCTGTCTCTCTTCATCTCTTATTGTCCTATAAGAATAGGACACCACTCAGATTGGATTAGAACCCACCCCACTCCAGTAAGACCTGATGTTAATTCATTTGATAACATCTTCAAAGACCTTATTTCCACATTTTACAGTTCACAGGTACCAAGGGTCAGGACTTGAACATAAATTTTGGGGGGACATAATCCAATCCTTAAAAGTTTGATGGTGGGAAAGTACAAAGTAGGTTCCAGGGCCCATGAAGGACTATGGCACTCTTTAGGACTAAAGTAGGTAAGCATGGGAAAGGAGGCTAGGGGTCAGATTGTGGAGGCCTTGAATGCCGGGCTAAGGATCGGGCCTTTATTCTGGCTCTCAACCTTGTCAAGTACTCAGACTCTCAGGCTTCACCCCTAGGGATTCTGGTTTGATAGGTTTGGGATAAGGAGCCCTTGTGGCATAAAGGTTGAGTGCTTGGCGGCTAACTGAAAGGTCACAGTTTGAACTCACCAGTGGCTCCATGGAGAAAAGACTTGGTGATCTGCTTCTGTGAAGATTAGCCTAGGAAACCCTATGGAGTAGTTCTACTCTGTCCTATAAGGTGGCTATGAGTTAGAATCCATTCAATGGCATACAACAACTACCAGGTCTGGGATGGGGCTCCAGAATCTGTGGTTTTAACAAGTGCTCCAGATGATTCTGAAGCTGTTGGTCTAAGGGTGCACTCTGAGATGCTCTGCTTGTGGGGAGGAGACTGTGGACTGTTTTGAGCTGGGAGTAACTTTCTAGTGGGAGGACAGCATGCAGGGCAGGGCAGAGAAAGAGCCTGGAGGCAGGGAAGCCCATGCAGCAGCTGTTGTGATAGTCTCAAAAAACCCAAAATCAAACCCACTGCCATTGAGTCGATTCCGACTCATGGCATCCCCCACTGAGTTTCCGAGGTGGTAAATCTTTATGGAAGCAGCCTTGTTTTTGTGGAGTGGCTGGTGGGTTTGAACCACCAACCTTCTGGTTAGCAGTGAGATGCCTTAGGCACTGTGTGGAAAAGGGCCTGACCTAGGAAGGAAAGCTCTGGAGTAGAGAGAAAGGGGCAGAGGCAGCAGCATTTCTGACAGAACTTGGAAGCAGCCTAGCTATGGGATAGAGGGGTTTAGGGAGAGGAATCCTTTATGACACCATTGTTAATGCCATTATTCATTCATGAACCATTTATTGTGTATCTATTTATGTGCTAGGTGCTGGGGACACAGAGATGAAGGGACAGCATTTGCCCTCAAGGAGGTCACAATTCAGTGGGGAAGATGGGACACTAACCCAATAATTACAACCTGGGTGGAAAGAGCAGTGCCAGATGTGTGCACAGATGCCCTGGGAGCCTGAGCATGATGCCTGACCTACTTGGGAGGGTGAGAGGCTACGGAGGGCTGAGAGGAGGGAGTGGTATTTGAGGAACCTTAAGAAAACACACAGGTGAGAGTAGAAGTTAAGAACGCAAGCTCTAGAGTCAGACCTCTTAGGTTCACATCTTGGCTGTGAAACCTTGAGCAAAGTAGTGCCCTAGTGTGCTTCAGTGTCCTCACCTATGAAATGGGTGTTGGTAACTGTGTCTGCCTCTTGGGGTTGCTGTGAGGGTTAGATGAATGAGCACATGTATACACGATTTAGAATGATATCTGGCACGGAGTAAGCCCTCAAATATTTATTATCCATTTCTACAAAATGATCGGAGGTAGGGAAGAGAGGAAACCCTGGTAAATGCAGAGAAAGGTGTGTTTGAGGCATGAGAGAGTGCTCTGCTCTCTCTTCTCCCACCAAACTGGAAGCTCCATGAGGGTGTCGTTGTTGTCATTATGTGCAGTTGAGTCGGATCCGACTCACAGTAATCCCTCTTTGGGTTTCCAAGGTGGCATCACTACGGAAGTAGATTGCCCAATCTTCCTTCTGAGGAGTGGCTGGTGGGATTGAACCGCCAGCCTTCTGGTTAGCAGTCAAGCCATGAGGGTAAGGATTCCAAAACCAAACCCACTGCCCTCGAGTTGATTGGACTCATAGTGACCCCTTCTTGGGTTTCTGAGGCTGTATCTCTATGCAAGTAGATTGCCCAGTCTTCCTTCCAAGGAGTGGCTGGTGGATTTTAGATCCTCTTTATTTCTGCATGTTGTACATCTCTAAGGAGTCCCCAGGTGGGGCAAATGGTTAACATGTTAGGCTGCTAACTGAAAAGTAAGCCGGAGGTTGGACTCCACCCAGAGGCACCTTGAAAGAAAGGCCTGGTGATCTACTTCTGAAAAATCAGCCATTGAAAACTCTATGGAGTGCAGTACTACTCTGTCTGACACACAGGGGTCACCATGAGTCAGAACTGATTTGACAGCAACTGGCTACTTGTACCTCCCAAAGGAAAGGCTTTCCATAAGATGTCATCTTCTAAACATCTGTTGAATTGGGTTGAATGATTCTGAAGTGTCAGGGCCAGGACTGGGAGGGCTGTGGATGCAGTATTGGGGCCAGTGTGGGGACAGACCCTAAATTCCTTTGCAGAAGACAATGAGCAGTTACAATTTCTTTCAGTGGAATTGGATGCCCCTATTG